CTTCGACGACGAGGAGGCGCAGGAGCGACAAGTGGAGGAGTACCGGTAGAAGGTCGGCTCGCTGCAGTTCGCGACGACGACAACGAGGCCGGTCATCGCCTTCACGTGCAGCAAGCTGGGGAGCGGCCTCACGGTGAGGAGCGACCAGCACTGGCGCGAGGTCGACCGCTGCCTCGTCTACCTCGCCAACACGAGTGACACCGCCGTGGAGTTCGGCGGTGGACCGGAGTCGCTAGATTTGGTCGGCTACATGGACGCCGACGACGCCGATGACAAGCAGAACCGGACGAGCACGAGCGGTTACGTGTTCGTCTACGAAGGGGCCGCAGTCTCCTGGTCGAGCCTGCGCGTCAAGTGCGCGACGTTGTCGTCGACCGAGTCGGAGTACGTGGCGGCCACCGCCGGCAAGGAGGGACGCCAACTTTGTTTCCTCCTCGCAGAGTTCCGGCATCTGGATGCCGGGAAACCGACCGTCCTTCGGGTGGACAACAAGTCGGCCATCATAGTCGCCGAGGGTATGGGGTTGACGGGCAACCTCAAGCACATGGAGTGGCAACAGGCCTGGCTGCAGCACATGGTGAAGCGCGGGAAGTTTTCGCTGAAGTACATCCCGGCCGCTGAGCAGGCGGCCGACTTCCTGACGAAGGCGCTGCACTATCCGGCCTTCAACCGATGCTCCGTCGCCATCGGCCAGGTGCGCTTGGCCGACGTGGGCGACGAAGTTGACGAAGTGCAACAGTAGGTGCCATGCCCTTTTGCATGGCTGGTGCGGTGGACGACGTGCTGTGTGTTGGGTGCACGTCAACGAGCTATTCTCCGAGAAGCACTGCCGGAAGTTGTGCGTTGGCCCCGTCCTCGCTTGGGCGGAGCCGACTTCGTGGTCGGGTGTGAGGGGAGCAGCCAACTTGCAGCAGTGGGCGAGCTGGTTGACGAGGAGGCCGACCTGCACGGGGGCCACCGCACGGGCGCCAACTTTAGGGTGGCGCCGACTTCAGGGAGGTCAACCTGGGAAGTCGACCTGCGGAGGACGTCAACTTGTTGACGTCAACTTGGGGAAGCCGACTTCGATGGTTGACTGACGGACTGCTGGTCGACTTGGTGGTTAGTCGACCAGGCCTGCTGGTCGACCTGCTGGTGGTTGACCTGACCTGGTGGTCGAGGAAGGAGGGGCCGACGTCGACCTTGACTCAAGACGCCGAGCAGTTGGGCGTCGAGTAGCTAGGCGTCAACTTTGTGAGCCGACTTCGGGTAGCCGACTTGGGTGGTCGACCGACAACTGCGCTGGTTGACATGAAGCTGGTCGACCAGGACTATTGGTCGACGTGGAGCTAGTCGACCAGAAGTGACGTCGACCTGGAGCTGGTCGACCAGGGGCGTGGTCGACCTGGTGAGGTCGACTTGGAGGTGGCCGTCGACTTGGGAGGTCGACGGGCACGTACGGGAGTAGCTGATCGACGTGGTTGCCCGGTCGACCAGGTTACCTGGGTGACGAGGTTCTGCGGAGGAGTGCGACGGTCGCCCAGGCAAAGTTGGCGAGCCCGACCTCGGTGGTGGTATCCCGAGGTCGACGTGGCTGATCAGAAGCAGTCATCAGCGCCAGGTTGACTTGGTGTGTGCGTTGTGCAGGTGACGAGGCTCAGTCCGCCAATCATCTGCGACACCTGCGAAGCAGGTGCGCTGCTGTTCTGCGTGAGCAGCGCTGGCACGTCGTCAACCTGCGACGTTGGCACGCCGTCGACTTTGCACTGCTGGAGCGCAGTCAACCAAGTCGTGCTGGAACGCGGTCGACCATGCTGCGCTGGCAGTCAACCGACCTGAATGCTAGCTCTGATGTAGTCTTGCCATGCCAACTTCATTGTACCGTTGTTGTCAACTTTCTCTAGTGAAACTCTTGCCAATTTTCCCCGTGAACTAGGAAGCAGTGTGTGCACTAGGAAAACGACTAAGGACCAACGAACGCAGAGATCACAAGAGCACTCGTGCCTGGCCCGTAGTCTAGCTCCCGTTGTAGTAGTTATCTCTGCAAGGTCTGCGGGGTCAAAGGCGAGAAAATGGTCCCTGACTTCGCGAAGAGAGCCTGGGAGGCGGGTGACTACGACGTAGAGAGTGATGTACATGGGTGTACATGAGTTACGCTGGCTCACCTACTTGCTGACCGACTTGGGAGAGCGGCCTCGTTCCCCTCCAGTGCTGTACGTCGACAACAAGGCTGCCATTGCCTTGTGTAAGGAGCACAGACTAGAGCACAGAACGAAGCACATGGCTCTGCGCTACTTCCTGGCTCGAGAGCTGCAGCAGCGTGGTCAGCTTCGTCTGCGTTACGTGGCCACTCGGGCCAGCACTGCTGATATATTCACCAAGGCACTTCAGTCTGGTGATCATCAGCGTTTTTACACTGTGCTGGGGCTTGTGCCCAATTTTCCTCACTTGGTGTAGACTTTACTTATACTGTGATCTATATATATATACCTGCATGTTTACTTTGCTAGGTGGAGATCACTGTGATGTTTATGTTACATATATGCCTCTACATATGAACTGGCCTTGTGGCCCTTTGCTTGTGCTCAGTGAGTGTGGTGACGTTGTGATCCACCCTGAGCTTGCTTTGCCTTTCTTGACTGGTCTTGTGACCCCTTGCTCTCCCCCACTTTGCCTATGGGGGTGTGTCAAATATTATATATGCTACAGTTTGTTTAGGTTGTAGTGGGGTAGTTACTATGGGGTACAATAAGTTTGGGGTTTCCTATTTGTACCCACCCCTTTCCTAGTGAAACACGCTTCTCTCATTTTGACATCCCCTACGTTATCGAATAGGGGGCTGACCTTGAGAAACCCCATGGCTAACGCTCAAAACGAAATGGGCCATTCTCAGGTGCAATCTCCTCTTGCTTGGAAATCTACTCATGTACGATCCATGTTATTGTGCAGATACGAACACAAGATTCATTGTAAGGATTTTCTGTCAATAATGCATTTACTTCCGAGATCCCATTCAAAATAACACAAAAGGTCTGAATCAAAGGCGATTTCGTATCACGCCAATCAAAATTCGAATCGTCACGTCATATTTCCCCAATTTCGACGACAATTTCTGCTTCGCACCAAGAGTTCTATAAAATAATTGTTTAGCGGGATCAGCTGTACTGTTGCCGCAGGTGAGGGAAGCTGCGCAGGGGAAATCAGCATTCCTTTTTTGGGCGTGCGCCCCGAAACACGAGAAAACTGCCCGTGTGATAACTGAGTTTGCCCTTATCGTAATAAATATCATGCTTGAATTTATTTTCGCACTAGACAACTCTACCAGAAAATAAGAACTCTTTATGGTAATATATATACATATATATATATATATTTTTTCTTTTTGGTGGCGTCGTCTAGTGCGGTAACAAAATTCAGCTTGGTATTGTTAAACTTATATGCTTTAATCTGTGTAGGCTGTAGTGGGGTACAACACTTTAGGGTTTCCTACTTGTACTCCTCATGCTGCTCAATGCAATCATTCCTCATTTCTTCACATGGTATAGAGCAGGTTCTGTCAGAATATTATGCTCTAGCCTATAGTGGGGTGCTCCATAGCGAGTACAACCCTTCTAGGGTTTGCTATTTGTATCCCCATTCTTGCTAGTTCAACCCTCTTCTTTCTTCTAAACTTTCTCATGCTATCAGAGCAGGTCGATCCTCTTGGATCGATCCTGTGGGTGGGCTCACCACCTCGTTGCTTCCGCTGCAACTGCTACTGCTACTCTCTATGCCGCACGCCACGGGGCGTGCGGCAGTGTTTTCTTCCCGCCGTGCGCCCCGAGGCGCGCGGCGGTTTTCTGCCCGCCGTGCGCCCCGAGGCGCGCGGTGGTTCTCTGCCCGCTGTGCGCCCCGAGGCGCGCGGCGGGCTTCTGCCCTGCCACTCGGCATGTCGCCCTCAGGAGGCGCTGCGACGGGCGACGGGGACCCGCGCGTCGGCCCCGTCGCCGCCCGCATCGGCCCCGTCGCCGCCCGCAGCGGGCCCGTTGCCGCCCGCAGCGGCCCCGTCGCCGCGCGCAGCGGCCCCGTCGCCGCCCGCAGCGACCCCGTCCCCGCCCGCATTGGCCCCGTCGTTGCCGCCAGCGGCCCCGTCGCCGCCACTTGCGGCCCCGGCCCCGCCCCGGCCATGCCTCGTCGTCAGCCGCGGCGCACCGGGGGCACGTGCACCGCCCCCCCCCCCCCCCACCCCCCCCTCTCTTTTCCCGTCGCCTGTCGGGGCGACCTAAGGGGACCGCACGCGGCGACGTGGGGGTGGGGGCGAGCGTCGCCCCTTCTGCCGCCTACTTTGGCGCCCAAGGAGGCCGCGCGTCGGCCCCCCCTCCCCCGTAACCTCCCTACCCGCCATCTCGCCCTGCCCTGTGTTCGGGTTTGGGGGTGGCGAGTGGGGGGTTGGCGGGTGTGTGGTCTCCCCTGCTCCTCCTCCTCCTCTGTCTCCCACTGCTGCAGCTGCCGCTGAGGTGGGTGGGTGTGTGGGAGTCGACGGAGTCGTGCTAAGGGGTGGGGTGAGAGTGACCCTAGGGGTGCAATAGGGGGTGTGTGTCAGGGAGGGTGAGACTGTTTGGGAAGCTGAACGGAGGTTGCCGTCGTGTCGCCAGTAGCACCTGTAGTCCGGGGAGTTGCTCCGGTAGCCCAGTCGTAGCCACCTGTGCCAGTCGCCCGTGGGTCCGTTGCTCGTCTGCCGCTACTTTAGCCGCGGGGCCAGTTACTCCAGTAGTCCGGAGAGTTGCTCCGGTAGCCACTATGCCAGTGTGCCTCCTGTTGCCCGTGTGTCTGCAGCTTCAGCCGTCGCCTCCTATCTCCTCTCCTCTCACTCTCGCCTCCTCCTCCTCACTTGCCCTCTGCGATAGCCTCTAGCTTTGCTCATAATTGTTAACTTTAAACTATTGCTTCTTGAACTTGTGCTCAGAATGTGTGGTGACATTGTGATCCACCCTGAGCTTGTACTGCTTTGCTTGCTCTGCTGATTACACCCCACTTTGGCTATGGGGGTGTGTCAGAATATTATGCTCTAGCCTGTAGTGGGGTGCTCCATAGCGAGTACAACCCTTCTAGGGTTTGCTATTTGTATCCCCATTCTTGCTAGTTCAACCCTCTTCTTTCTTCTAAACTTTCTCAGGTTCCCTAGTGGGAACGTTTCCTAGGGCCCACCACTGAAAATCGATTTTTTTTTCCTGCCCCGAGCGCGCTTCCCTCCTGCCCGAGTCGCGCCCCGTGTGCCCTCCCTCCCGTCGCGTCCCTAGCCCTTAGCGGCCCGTCGCGCCCTCCTCAGGCCCCTCGCGGCCCCTTTCGCGACCCCTCTCACGGCCCCGTCGTCGCCGCTCTAGGCCCCGTCGCCACCCCTCTAGCCCCTTGGCGGCCCCTTCGCGGCCCCGTTGCCGCCCCTAGCGGCCCCGTCGCCGCCCCTCTAGGCCCCTCGCGGCCCCTTCGCGGCCCCGTCGCCGCCCCTCTAGGCCCCTAGCGGCCCATTCGCGGCCCCGTCGCCGCCGCTCTAGGCCCCGTCGCCGCCCCTCAAGGCCCCTCGTGGCCCCTTCGCGGCCCCGTCGCCGCCCCTTGCGGCCCCGTCGCCGCCCCCTCTAGGCCCCTTACGGCCCCTCTGCGACCCCGTCGCCGCCCCTAGCGGCCCCGTCGCCGCCCCTGGAGGCCCCGTCGCCGCCCTTCGCAGCCACCTCGCCGGCATTAGCGGCCCCGCCGCCAACCCTAACGGCCCCGTCGCCGACCCTAGCGGCCCCGTCGTCGCCCCTAGCGGCCCCGTCGCCGCTCTTCGCGGCCCCGTCGCCCCTCTTCGCGGCCCCGTCGCCGCCTCTACCGGCCCCTTCACCGCTGAGCCGTCCAGCAGCTGAGCAGCCGAGCCACCACGCTGCCAGCCGCCCAGCAGCCGAGGCGCCCGACAGCCGAGCCGCCGAGCCACCGCGCCGCCCAGCAACTGAGCCGCCGAGCCGCCCAGCAGCCGAGCCGCCCAACACCCGAGCCGCCAAGCCGCCCAACCGCCGAGCCGCCGAGCCGCCGTGCCGCCCAGCAGCCGAGCCGCCGAGCCAATCTGCCGTCGAGCCGCTATTGTTCCTACCGGCGCGCCCCGGCCCTTCTTCCTTGGACTGGTGAGCTCACTCACTGCTAGGCCACTGCAGTCTTGGCTACCCCCAGTGTCCTTACCTTTGATACTGAGGGTCGTGCTGTTGACTTTGAGGTCTAGGTCGATGACCTCCAGCTGTTCCTACAGTGTGATAGGGCAAACGGACTCTCCCTGTTCGATCTCACCTCTGGTGTCTCTCCTGCCCCGCCTGCTACTGCTGATAGCACTGTTCGCTCACAATGGGCCACGCGCGATGCTGCTGCCCATCTTGCTGTGCGTCGCCACCGACCACTGAGCGTGCGCACTTTAGCCAGTACAAGAGTGCTCAGACCTTGTACGACGCTGTAGTTGCACGCTACTCTTCCCCTGCCACTGCTGCGCTTAGCCGCCTCATGCTACCGTACCTGTTCCCTGACATAGCCTTTCCCACAGTCGCTGACCTCATTACGCACCTTCGCACTAGCGACACTCGCTAACGCGCTGCGCTTCCTGCTGAGTTCTGTGCCAAGAACCCCCCCTCCGATGTACATCACCCTCTACTACATAGTCACCCGGCTCCCTTATTCCCTTCGCTTAGTCAGGGACCACTTCCTCTCAGTTTGCCCCACCACACTCACCGTCGACCTCCTCGAGGAGCGCCTCCTAGCAGCAAAGAAGAGCATAGTGTTGTAGGAGCCTCTCGTGGTGACCCTCGCACCCCCGTCTTTGAGGGGTGTTCTCCCTCCCCCCTCTTGCCCTCTGTTGCTTCTGCTGCTGCGGCCGACCTCGTTGGCTTCGAGTCGGTCGGCGCTGCGTCTGCCCCTAGCAGGAGACGCCGCACCGGCAAGGGCAAGGGCGGCAAGGGCGTTGGAGGGGCTTGCGGGGGCGGTGGAGGTGGTGGTGGAGGCAGTGGAGGGGGTGGGGGTGGTGGTGGGAGTGGTGGCGGGGGTGGAGGTGTTGGTAGCAGCAATGGAGGCGGAGGAGGCAGCGGTGGTGGTGGAGGGAGCGGAGGCGGCGGAGGTGGCGGAGGCGGCGGAGGTGGCGGAGGCGGCGGAGGCAGCGGTGGAGCTGGTCATGGATCTGCGCAGAGGATTGGCTCCGGTGGTGGTCCGCGCCAGCAGCAACAGCGCAGTCGTGAGACCCTGTCCCCTCAGCAGCTTTGTGAGTGGTATGATGGGCGTCAGCGGGGTGGGGGTACTGGTCCCTGCACCTACGTCCTCCGTATAGGCGACCGCGCTGGTGAGCAGTGTGGGGGCACGCACTCCACCCAGCGCTGCTTCGGCCGCCTGACAGATGCTTGGCGTCATCAGTTCCCTGACGCCATTGAGATCCCTCGCTGGGGAGAGCTGTCTAGGGCGGGGGTTGCTATCTTTGATCCAAACTATGATGCTATTCTTGCTGCCATGTATGCTGTGTCTACTAGTGATGAGGGTGACTGTTACCTGCGCGTTCCGCCTGACCCGGGCATTGAGGTTGCTGCTCTAGGTGCTGGTGAGGCTGCTGCTCCAGGTGCTAGTGCGTCTGCTGCCCCAGGTGCTGGTGAGTCTGCTCTCTCAGGTACCACGTCGGCTCAAGCCTTGCACACCTTCACCCTTGACTCGGGTGCTTCCCGCTCCTTCTTTCGAGACTGCACCACGCTTACGCCGCTTAGTCGGCCGGTTGCGGTCTCCCTGGCGGACCCCTGTCCTTGCTAGCTTCTCCACTGTCTTACCGTGTCCGGCAGCCCCCTCTGGCACCCTGTGAGGTCTCTACCTCCCCTCGTTCTCTACGAACTTGGTGAGTGGAGCTGATCTACAGGATCGGGGGGTTGACCAGTTCACGCCTGCGAGTCAGCGGGTGACCCACTGTACGTGTGCTCGGACGGGCCGAAACTTGGCCACGTTTACCCGTCAGCCGGGGTCGAGCCTGTACACACTGACTACTGAGTCCCCATTTTCCGTGGCCGTTTGCGGTTCAGTACGCAGCGCATCAGCTCAACCTTCAGCCCCAGGTCTCCTTGCCAAAGACCTCCCCCACCTTGCGGTGGACGGGGAAGGTTGGCGATGCGTGTGCGTTTCGGTTCTGGGGATCTCGGGCGTTTGTCCGCGACTTGTCTGCGGACAAGCTGTCCCCCCATGTTGTTCCCTGCGTCTTCCTTGGCTTTCCCCCTGACGCGCCTGGTTGGCAGTTTTACCACCCCACCTCGCGTCGTGTTCTGTCCTCCCAGGACGTCACCTTTGACGAGTCAGTGCCTTACTACCGTCTCTTTCCCTACCGCACTGTGCCCCTCCCCCCATCGCCGCTCTTCCTTGCGCCAGGTCCTCCACCGGTAGACCCCCTCCCCCCTCAGGGTCCTACCCCGTCAGGTGTGTCCCAGGTAGACGCAATTGAGCCTCTCGAGGTAGCTGTTGACTCTGGTGCTGCTAGGGGCACTGAGCCTGCGGGTGCCGGGTCTGGGGGTGCGGAGCCTGGGGGTGCTGATTCTAGGGGTGCTGAGCCTGGGGGTGCTGAGTCTGGGGGTGCTGAGCCTGGGGGTGCTGAGTCTGGGGGTGCTGAGCCTGGGGGTGCGGAGCCTGGGGGTGCGGGGTTCGGAGCCTAGGGGTGCGGAGCCTTGGGGTGCTGGGTCTGCTCGTGTGGCCTTTGCCGGTGCTTCGTCGAGGCAGGAGCTACTCTCTCCGCGGAAGCTGCGCGAGTGGTTTGCCCGGCGCTGGAGCCGTGCTACTGGAGCTGGAGGTACTACTGTTGCTGCTGGTCCTGGAGGTGCTCGTCCTGGCGGTTCTGGAGCTGCTGGGACTGGGAGTCCTGCTGGAGGTACTGCTGGAGCTGCTGGCGGTACTGGAGCTGACGGCCCTGCTGGAGTTGGTGCTACTGGAGCTGCTGGAGCTGGAGCTGCTGGGGGTGTTGGCGCTGGTAGTTCTGCTTGCGCTGGTGCTTCTAAGGGTGTTGGAGTTGGCGCTGTTGGAGCTGGAGGTGCTGCTGGCGCTGGTGCTGCCGCTGGGGGTACTGGTGTTGTCCCTGCTGGTTCTAGAGGCGCTGCGCGGCCGAGGCCGTACTTCGTTCCGCTCCTTGAGCAGGTTCTTGGTCTCCCGCCCTCTACTGGTCCTGCTCCTCCCTTAGCGTGTCCACAGCCTGTCCAGTCGCGGTCACAGTTACAGCTCGTCTGCTCCTTCTCCCTACACTGGTCCTATTGGAGGTCTTGCTGAGCGTCGTGAGCCTACGTCTCGTCCTGCGTCGCCTGTTCGTGCTGCTCACGCTAGTGGTCGTGCTCCGCTTCCGCGTCCTCCTGCGGTCCCCGGCACACACCAGATGGCACTGCGTCCTTCCACTGCTCCTCTGCGTGTCCCGTTGCCGTCTCCTCCAGAGTCCTCTCTTCCTACTCTTGCTGACCCAGAGTCTGACTCTCTTCGTGCTGCCAGTCCTACTGTCACGCGTCTCCTGGCTACTGTTGTCACTGACCCTTCTTTTGAGTCCACTGCCGCGTCTGCCTTAGTTGCTGAGCTTGTCGACTTTGCTGCTCGTTGTCGTCTAAACTACACTGCTAGTCTTGTTGCTGAGTCTGAGTCTGTCTGTCCTGCGTCCGTCGGGGGTGAGTGTGCTCTTAGCACGGACGTCCTTGAGGACAGGAAGGAGGAGTTCCAGTATTTTGCTGCTGCTTTGCCTCATCTCGTGTCCACGTGGATTTTCAGGGTGAAGCGGCCCCCGGGTTCTCCGCCTGTCTTCAAGGCGCGTTACGTGGCTCAAGGCTTCAGTCAGCGGCAGGGAGTTGACTACTTTCAGACCTTCTCCTCCATCCCGAAGATGACCACTCTTCGGGTGCTGCTGCACATAGCGGCTCAGCGCGACTACGAGCTTCACTTTCTTGACTTTAGCACAGCTTTCTTGCAGGGCAGCCTGCATGAGGAGATCTGGCTGCGCCGCCCACCTGGCTTCATTGGGTCGTTTCCTCCTGGTACCCAGTGAAGCCTCCGGCGGCCAGTCTACGGTCTCCGCCAGGCGCCCCGGGAGTGGCATGAGACACTGAGGACTACACTTGCGGCTCTTGGGTTTGCTCCTTCTACAACCGATCCGTCGCTGTTTCTGCGCACCGACACCTCCTTGCCACCGTTCTACATCCTCGTGTACGTCGACGACTTGGTCTTTGCCACTGGTGACACTGCTGAACTCGCCCACGTGAAGTCCGAGCTGCAGAAGAGACACACGTGCACAGACCTGGGTGAACTGCGCCGCTACCTTGGCTTGCAGATCACCCGGGACAGAGCACAGCGCACCATTACCCTAACTCAGTCACACATGGTGGAGAAGGTCCTTCTGCGCTTCGACTTCACGTACTCCTCGCCTCAGGCCACTCCTCTGTCTACTCGCCACTCGCTCTCAGCTCTGCCTTCGGATGAGTCCGTACAGCCGAGTGGCTCGTACCCAGCGCTTGTTGGCTGCCTCATGTACCTGATGACCTGCACACGACCTGACCTAGCATACCCTCTTAGCATCTTTGCACGCTATGTTGCTCTTAGGAGACACTGACCAGAGCACATGGCTGCAACAAAGAGAGTGTTGCGCTACTTGTGCAGTACGTCGGGCATGGGGCTAGTGCTTGGAGGGCGACGTCCAGTGGTCCTCACAGGTCACGCAGACGCTTCTTGGGCTGACGACCAGGCTATGCAGCGGTCGTCACAGGGTTACACCTTCAGCCTTGGCTCCGGCTCTGTTTCGTGGCGGTCTACCCGCTCGTCTTCTATTCTCGGCTCTAGCTGTGAGGCTGAGATCTACGCGGGGGCCATGGCTGTACTGGAGCTACGCTGGCTCACCTACCTGCTGACTGACCTAGGAGAGCCGCCTCATTCTCCTCCAGTTCTGTAAGTAGACAACAAGGCCATGCTGGCCTTGTGTCGGGAGCACAGACTGGAGCACAGAACGATGCACATTGCTCTTCGCTACTTCCTTGCTCGTGAGCTGCAGCAGCGTGGTCAGCTGCGCCTTGCTTACGTGGCCTCTGAGGCCAACACTGCAGATATCTTTACCAAGGCACTTCCGCCTTGTGATCATCAGCGCTTTTGTACGATGCTAGGTCTTGTGCCTACTTGGCCTCACTTGCTCACTTCTTGACTTTGCTTATAATGTGATCTATATATAACTGCACTTGCATGCTTACCCTTGCTAGGTTGAGATCACTGCCTTGTTTGTTCATCTTGATATATAACTTTGCATGTGAACTGGCCTTGTGGCCTTGTGCTTGTGCTCAGATTGTGTGGTGACATTGTGATCCACCCTGAGCTTGCCTTGCTTCTCTTGACTGGTCTTGTGACCTCTTGTTCTCCCCCACTTTGCCTATGGGGGTGTGTCAAACTTATATGCTATAGTCTATGTAGGCTGTAGTGGGGTATCTCATACGGGGTACAACACTTTAGGGTTTCCTACTTGTACTCCTTATGCTGCTCAATGCAATCATTCCCCATTTCTTCACAGGTTTTTGCTGCGGGTACACTCCCGCTACACCCTCCCCCCCACAGCGACGGTTGCGTGTGGGGCAAGAAAGGGAGACGGCAGGCGTTGCTGGCGGCTCACAGCCCCCCCCCCCCCCCGTCACTCCACTTCCCCCCCACAGCAGGTGCGAATGCTGCTGGCGCTGGCGGCATCGCAGGTGGGCTGCGACGAGCAGGACGGGGGGTCGTAACGGAGGGCGCGACGAGCGCCTTTGCGCCACTCGCCGTCGCTAGCGTCGCAGCTGCAGTCGCATCAGCTGTATGGTCGGCGGGGTTGGGGGACGGTGTAGCGCGACCGGCCAAGCGTCGGGGCAGCGCGATGTGGCAATAAACGGGGCCAGCGAGGCGCGCGACGAGAGGCTGAACCGGGGCCGCAGCTAGCGCCATCGCCCAGCTCCCCGTCACGAGCAGCAGCGTGACGAGCGGAAGCTGCGTTACTGGCAGCGCGACACACGGCGCGACGAGGGTCGCCATGAATGAGAATCAAAAGCAGGCCTAGGCGAACCAGGCTCTCGATACCAAGTTAAAAGACTAAGGACCTAGGAACTAGGTTTAGGCTTAGGAGCAAGGATCATGGCTAGAGAAACGAGAGTAGTAGGAACGAGAGAGATGCCAAAAGGGGGTTCAGTATTATGAAGGAGATACAACATATAGAGAATTGTAGTGGTGCACCACCTAGTAAGAAAACGCGATAACTACAGTAACCAATCCTACATACTATTACACATGAAAATATGAACATATATTTTCTGACAGCGACAACTGTACAGCTGATCCAGCGTAAGATTTCTTTCATAGAACTCCTTGCGTGAAAATTCAAAACGAGAATGGAATGACTAAGTGAAAGTTGGGTACAAGTAGGAACCCTAGAAAGTTGTACCCCATATGTGCTAACCCACTATAGCCTACAGTAACTATGTCATATAAATCTGACACACCCCCATAGGCAAAGTGTGGGAGAACAAGGGGTCACAAGACCAGTCACGCAAAGCAAAGCAAGGCAAGCTCAGGGTGGATCACAAAGTCACCACACATTCCGAGCACAAGTTCAAGGCCACAAGGCCAGTTCACATGCAGGATTACTTATATATATAAGGCTAGACAAGCAAGAGCACGAGTGTATATATATGTAACAGTACAAACAAGGTCAAGGGGTGAGCAAGTGAAGCAAGGTAGGCACAAGACCCAGCTGAGTACAGAAGCGCTGATGATCACAAGGCGCAAGTGCCTTGGTGAAGATATCAGCAGTGTTGGCCTGAGAGGCCACGTATGCAAGGCGCAGCTGACGACGCTGCTGTAGCTCTCGAGCAAGGAAGTAGCGAAGAGCAATGTGCTTCGTTCTGTGCTCCAGT